AACGACTTTCGTGGAAAATCCGAGATCTGCTGTCTTATACCTGATTGGTTCGTCCACAAACTATAGTCTCGCCAGATTTTCCTTTCTTTTGTGAATATAAGTCTCTACTCTCTGATTTCACAATCCACAATACTAGTACTGTTTAACTTAGTTTTGATTCATTGTATGTTGCTCAAAAGTCCCAAAACTTCCACCCTATATATCATAAATATTCTACAGAAAATGTTGTAAAGGAATCCGATTTTCTGAAACTTTTATCAGTCACTAAAAATCATACATGTATTGGTCCTCCGGATATTTTTATAGGAAGTGTTGTTATGAAGCATATTTACTTGATGTGATGAACCGCTGTTTCTGGTGAGTTGTTTATGTCAATCAATGTGCGGTTCATTTATGACTTGGTTATGTAAGTAACTTTCCTCTCGGAATATATTAAAGTTTACCCTGCTACGCAGTCGACAATTGTAGGTACTAATTGCAATTACTCATTATATCCTAACTAGATCATTAAACAACTGTAATATAAATACAGACGATTCAAGGATATGGAAGAATGACATTCTGTTGTATAGAAAACTCGCTTGCTTTTGTAAGTTCAACCACTAAATCTGTAATATGATGCACTGTCAAAGGTCTGGAATACTAAATCACCTCATGCTCTTGGTGAATCCCTCACTGGACGTATATGAAGTAAATATAGCAAAGGTGTAAAATTCATCAAATATCACTACCGTAGCCGCTACCTTGGTGTGGTAGCCAGCCTTACCTACTGTAATAATACAGTCGTTCTATGCTGCCTAGGACATTAGTTCTTAAAGATTTTGCCATGCTATGCATGTCGGTTGGAGAACGGTAAGACTAAACCAAACAGATTAAGGTTCGAGGGTGAATTTGTACTACCGACTGTACAGTAGTCTGATAGACGTTGATTTTTTTCTTCAGGAAACTAGCACTTACAACGATTCTGCTTTCTCACAACGGAAAGTGAGAGTTCGTAAAGATCAACTCTAGAAATTTTATACCTTACCCACTGATCTCTGTCTCTGGTGATAAGGCATTTTGGAAGTAAAAAGCCGATTTGTCTGGAATATCTCAGTCAGTCAGTCAGTCAGTCAGCTACAACGTAGGAGCAGGCACATATATGCATCGGTCCAAGTTGCCATACCGCATTATCACAGCAAGATGAACACTGGATTCATAGACGTGTTTACTTCAATGTGGGTAGTATATAGAAGAAAGATTGCATATAAAAGTGTATTACAGGAAGAAAGAATCAGTTCGTAGAAAGAAAGATATGAAGTGATTTTAATCTCTTAGTTTAAGGGAAGACAGGGAGTGTATAAACCTACGACGGTGTGATCGATTTTGAGCCATGTCACCAGGAGTCTCCAACCCTTGGTTACGATAGTCACGCGGACCCGAACCAAGTACTCTGCATCTACCAACATGGCTCAGACTAGAAGTTATTGTCTTCAAGCACTGACGACACCACGTTTTGGTTTGGCCGCCCCTAACCTTTTTCCAACCATCCCCAACACCGGTTAGCATTGGTAATCGGTGTTCAGGCATACGCAACACGTGACCCAACCATCTCAGTCGATGAAGATTCACAACCTCACCAACTGATTTACCATCATTACCTAATACTCTGCGTATAACCTCAGTATTACTTACCAAGCGATCACAGGAGATGCCAGCAATATTTCTAAGGCATCTGTGGTCAAATACTAGTAGCTTACGAGTATCTTAAACTCCTAATGGCCATGTTTCGCTGCCGTGAGGTTTATGACTTCTGAGGTACGCCTATCAATAACAGGCACTGCCTCAGAATCTTGCAGTCTGCCGAGTCAAATGCTGCGTTTAAGTCAAGAAAGACCACCATTGTTGGACGCCAGTAAGTATGTCTATGTTACAGGACCTGAAGAATGGTGAATATGTGGTCGATGCAGCCACGACCAGGTCTAAAGCCAGCTTGGTTCTCTCGTGTTTGCAGTCCACGAGTCTTAGTTAGGCGCCTGATAATTATCGAGCCTAGTATTTTAGATACTATATTAGTTAAACTAATCACTCTGTGGTTGTCACAGGATGATTTTGACCCTCTTTTATATACTGGGACGATAAGTGATTGCGACCAGTTAGATGGGATGACGTCTAACTTTCAGATTTTAGCTAAAATATTAGTCAACCTAATCGCTAAAATTGGACCACCATCCTTAAAATTATCTGGAGCCAATCCATCTGGACCAGCTGCGCTTCCTCGTTTCAGATTAACTATAGCCTTTTGGACTTCAGCTAGGGTTGGGGGACCTACTTCAATGTTCCATTCACATTGTCTGGGAATAAAGGGTAGTTGTAGAATAGCTAAAGGCCAGCTGAACTGTTCTCTAAAATGTTCCGCCCATCGTTCTAAACGTCTGGACTGGGAGCAGGTGAGAGTATCATCTTTTTCCCAAATAGTCTGACTTACACTTGACTTAGTAATTCCACCTTCTTTTATTAGTCTGTAGAGCTGTCTTTTGTTCCCTATAGCCACTGCCCTTTCCATCTCTTTTGCTTTCGTTGCTCACCACTGCTCACGGTCGTTCCTTAGACTTTTGCTTAACTCAGATCTGATTTGTTTACGCTCTTCATCATGTTCAGAACCTGATGGGATGAGTTTGCGAGAACCCATCAGTGTGATAGACTTTGAAGAAATCCACTGGTTCTTTGTAACTCTGTGGTTTAAGTCACTAATAGATTTCATTGCTGTTTCCACAGCTGTTTGTATATCTTTCCAAGCAACATCTGGGTCAGCCTCGTTTTCAGAACTACCTAAGTGTGACCTCAGTTGTTCCTGGAACCTACTTTTGGTTTTCTCGCTACTCAATTCAGTTCTAATGGGTCTTTTTACTGTGGCTTTTCTGCGTCCAGTGAGGCGCAAGCAGATGCGTGCGCGTAACAGGGCATGGTCGGAGTCCAACCAGGTACTCCAGAATGAGCGACAATCTTCTACCGACCCTCTCCAACGATGACTGATGGCAGTATGGTCTATTTGAGTCCATCGTTGTTTTGGTGTAGGGGGTTGCCATGTTAAACAATGTCTCTCCTTATGCTTAAAATTTGTGTTTGCTAAAAATAAACGATTGTCTGAGCATAGTTGCAGCAGACGATCACCATTATCTGTTCGCTGAACCAGAATACTAAAATATCCACCTAAATGCCTTTCTTTTCGGTTTAAACTACCTATCTGGGCATTAAAGTCACCTCCTGTGGGTACTATGTCTGAACGATTAGCTTTCTGAAGAATTTCAGATAGCTTTCTGTAAAATTCATCTTCCAATCCTTCCGAGCTGCAGTCGGTGGGAGCGTAGGCATAAAGGACAAAAGGGTAACGACGTGTGTCCCTATCCTTCCGAGTTCTTACGGAGCCGTTTAGCCGAACAGCACATGAACGGCTGTTAACAGGGATCCAATCTAACAGTGCTTGTTCCGCCCTCATTCTTAGTGCTATGCCTACACCGGTCAGTGCACGAGAACTGGCCATCGGGTCACCAGATACACGGAGGGTGTGTCTCGTTGGCTCTCCGTTTTGCCGAGGTGAGGTCAACTGAATGACGACACTATGATTCTGTATGCGTGTTTCGAAGACATGGCATACATCAACGGTAAGAGAATCTAGGGTTTTAGCCAAGGAAGCTTGCTGACCAGTTTGACATAAGGTGTGTACGTTGAAGGCTCCAATGTGTGGTTTGGAGTGAGGTTTTAGTTGACCTGCGGCAGTGTTTTGCGCGGTAGGACCGTTGGCTATGGTGACACTTGAGGGGGAAGACGAAAGAGGAAGTTTAGTGTTGAAAGTCGATGTAGGAGCAATGATAGGAATTGAAGAAGGAGGTTGATTATGAATACAGTGGTCTTGAGTGTTGTCAGAGGTATGAGGACGGTTATCACTCCCCGGTTGCGCACACCGTGGAAGGGTTCTTCTGGAGGTACCTGGAAAGGAAATTGGATTAGGGGTGGTCTTAGTGACCTGAGAGCGTGACCGCAGTGCCCAGGGGACAACTGCTTGAGGTCGGTCACACACGACCTTTTCATGGGTTATTTTTGTGTTAGCTCCGTACTTGTTGAGACCTTACCGCCGGAGACGGTTATCCGTGGGATAAGGCGAGGTATGCATTTTTAGGGTCGACCTTTTCTAACCCCACCCCTCCCCTTTGACATTGAGTAGCGTACCAAAGGAGTATATCAACCTTGTACAGGTTGTTTGCTTACAAGATTCTGATTGAGTTAGAGCTTATGGTTAGCTGTCATGAGAATCGACAACCTTAGGCGGTGTTGTTCAGGACTCCCTTCTTTCTGCATTTTCATTTAATTTCATTATAGACATCCTTTTAGAAATAAGCATCGGACATCGGCTGTTAAGGCAGTGAATATTGATCAACCGAAGTAGTTGGAATATGTATTACGTACTCACAACTACTGCCTACCTTGGGGTGCGATGTTGCTTAGTGCAGAAGCCGGTTGGATGAAAATTTGGGGTAGCCAAACTAAAACGTATTAATCCATGAAATCATTAACTGCCTAACAGCCAAGTAGGTTGGTGTTCACACGTTTATTGTAATCAATAGCTAGAGATTTTGGGTGACAGGAATCAAAATCATCCTGAGCGACGCAAATGCATTCACTATTTATCTTCTCTTAGCTCCTGAACTCCGAAATCTTATTCCATCTTTTCCTACTACTACTACAATAGGATTTCTCATGATAATTTTACCTCACCGCTAATTTTGTGTCACAACTAGAACCGACGCACATATATATATACTAGATTTTACGTTGATTATAACTGACTGACTTTATCAAATAAATTATTTATATTATTACTAGGTGTTTATCAAATGTCTTGTCAATTTTCGCAGTTTAGTTATATAAATTGTGGTCGTCTGATTTATTAATCTTGTAGTTACTTGATTGAAATTTCTAGCCTCTTCGAGAAGTACGCTTGAAGGATTGATTTAGTAAAGATGGAAACCGTATGTTCAGAATATTCTACTGATAGCGTTTTTTAACTTACATTTTAGTATGATGTGAAATCAAGCCAGTGTCATGTTGGGATTTTGTTCTGCAGTGAATGCAACAACATGTTGTATCCTAAAGAGGATAAGCGTACAAAAACATTATACTACGCATGTCGTAACTGTGATTATTCCCAGGAAGCAGACAATCCCTGTGTTTATATCAACAAACTGGAACAGGAAGTTGAGTAAGTATCCATACCACTGTTTTGAGTCGTTTTTATTTATTTGTTCTACGTACTAGCATTCTTATGATATGATATTTTACTCACACATATCTTGTTAGAGTAGTTTCAATGTATTTAGAAGAGAAGAAATCGCTTCAGATGACCACTATTTTGACAGTGACGGGATTCCAGTGTGAATATAACCAATGCCTAGTGCGATTCCGAGATGAATCATATTATTTGTTTAACTTGTTCGTCTCTGTATTCTATTTTGCATCAACTGATGGAGTCTCAAGTTACTTAGTTTCACAACTTCAGAGACTCCACCTGACTGACCATACCGCCCCATTATCTGTTAACTTTGCACAGTCATGTCATATCGCCTCACTATATCATATGATGACAGTTCAACGCTTTTCATCCAATAATGAGTTTCGAAAATACCAAAGAGATTGTTAGTGAAATATCGGTCACTCAAAAATCATGGTCTCTTTAATGTCAAAGCATAAAAGTAGTGTAACTCAGGATTCCTTACACTAATATGTTGTTGATGAATGCAAAGTTTCGTCTTGATGGTTTCAAAGGTGTCAAAGATCGGCTTTCGATATACGTAGAATAATTTATTTATTTAAGCACATAAACATTGGCACAAAGAGGCACGAAATAGATATGCTCCACATAAACCATTGGATTTGTGTTAGGCCTAGGATACTGCCCGGGTACCCAAACCGAAACAGAGGGCCTTCGACTTGTAGGTCTAATCAACTAGGTAGTGGAGTAACGTCAGGAGATGCAATCCCATGGTAGCCGGTCACCAATAATATGTTCATACGCCATTGGTTCCTACAGGTTCCTAGAGCCAGCCCATGTGCACCATTGGTTCGGAATCAGGGTTTTCCAACTTTTCTAGGTGGACTGTGTGTTCACCAACCCAATTAAAGCGCTGGATATTCGCTTTCTTCCTCTCAATTTTGTAAACAACACCCTCCTTCGCGAGAAGGCAGTGAGTAGGACTTCCCTGGCAGAGGCTATAGACACGTGGCCATGTGAGAGCATTTCGAGGGGGAGAGCTGACTCTGCCCACTCGCGACCATACCAGGGCATTTGAGGGCATGTAGGACAATCTTCTTTACTGTTCTCCCACTAGCCACATCCAAGTCCAGAAACGTTTTCACAGTTCACAAAATGTTTGCCTCAAGTGATGGGTGGAGGAACCGGTTACTGTCAGATGAAGATAGAATGGGGGAATCGTGCCTTATCCTACTTGTTGCTTGACAGAATGGATAAAGATGGAAGTAAGAAGCACAGTAGGTAAAACGTTAGTATATTTATAGTTTTAACATGAGGAGATCATAGAGTGTTCTCCAAGTATCGACTAGTGCTAATTGGATAGGAATTAGCCGATCAGCGTTCGCCAAAGCAATCGTGAACTGAGCATGATTTCATACAATTTATGTCCTGCTAACAGGGTAGTTAGACCAGCGGAGGTAAACTCACTAGTAGTTTCATAGTCTTGTCAGTGTAAAATTGTATTATGAAATGTACAACTTCAAATTATAAACTTTTCCTGTTAATTTATTCATGGAATATTTGTTAAAATAAAATAGTATTTCTTTTATCCATCTAAAGTGAATTGGCTTTAATTGTACCGGATGTTGTTCATGATCCAACACTGCCTCGAACAGAAGATCATATATGTCGTCGATGCGGTAAACAAGAAGCTGTATTTTTTCAATCACAGACATTGAAAGCGGAAGAAAATATGCGTTTATATTATGTTTGTACCAATGTTGACTGTTTACATAAATGGACTGAATAGATATTGTACATATATATGCTATGAAAGGAAGTCCTGAATAAGAACTAAACTTGTAAGATAAGTATTACGAAAGTTTTGAATTTGAGTCATTTACATAGAACTTTACTTATATTCTTATAAATGGTCACCTATCTAACACGGGAGATTCTCAATTTATTGGCGTATTTTGATATGATGATGAAGAGAACTGATTGTTTTAATCACAGTTGGCTCTTAAATCGATCGTTATCTCTAACCACCTCTTTACATCTCGACATAATGCAAGCGATGTAGCGTCACCTAGACTAACTAGCTACATTTCAAATTTGCCGATAGGATTCGACTAACACGAAGAAGGACTTGAAATACATGGCATTAGTCACTACCTAATGATCATTCAATTGTAAAAATCGTGTTATCGTTGAGAAAACTGTACGCATGAAGTAGTTTATGCGTCAATGGTGTGTTTTTTATTCTAACATTAAACCCTTAACATGTTCATCAATTTGGAATTAAACCGATGCCAGGACTGATCTTTTGGTGTATCTTTCGGTGGTGCCAACATGGTTTGTGTAGGGTAGGTTCTAGATAATCTACTTGACATAAGCGTAGAATACTTACCAACCACTAACAGTTATCCTCAACACAAATTTCAAGTGGAATCTTATAACAATTACAATTCTATTCTTATATCTTTTCACCAGTGATGAGTTTCTCACTCTTTAATATTGAAGGCTTTTCAGACAACCAGCATGACAGCGATGCTGCCTTCCCACAAGGAGGGGTGGGGTTAGAAATGCACACCTCGCCTTATCCTACGGATATCCGTCTCCGGCGGTAAGGTCTCAACAAGTACGGAGCTAACACAAAAATAACCCATGAAAAGGTCGTGTGTGACCGACCTCAAGCAGTTGTCCCCTGGGCACTGCGGTCACGCTCTCAGGTCACTAAGACCACCCCTAATCCAATTTCCTTTCCAGGTACCTCCAGAAGAACCCTTCCACGGTGTGCGCAACCGGGGAGTGATAACCGTCCTCATACCTCTGACAACACTCAAGACCACTGTATTCATAATCAACCTCCTTCTTCAATTCCTATCATTGCTCCTACATCGACTTTCAACACTAAACTTCCTCTTTCGTCTTCCCCCTCAAGTGTCACCATAGCCAACGGTCCTACCGCGCAAAACACTGCCGCAGGTCAACTAAAACCTCACTCCAAACCACACATTGGAGCCTTCAACGTACACACCTTATGTCAAACTGGTCAGCAAGCTTCCTTGGCTAAAACCCTAGATTCTCTTACCGTTGATGTATGCCATGTCTTCGAAACACGCATACAGAATCATAGTGTCGTCATTCAGTTGACCTCACCTCGGCAAAACGGAGAGCCAACGAGACACACCCTCCGTGTATCTGGTGACCCGATGGCCAGTTCTCGTGCACTGACCGGTGTAGGCATAGCACTAAGAATGAGGGCGGAACAAGCACTGTTAGATTGGATCCCTGTTAACAGCCGTTCATGTGCTGTTCGGCTAAACGGCTCCGTAAGAACTCGGAAGGATAGGGACACACGTCGTTACCCTTTTGTCCTTTATGCCTACGCTCCCACCGACTGCAGCTCGGAAGGATTGGAAGATGAATTTTACAGAAAGCTATCTGAAATTCTTCAGAAAGCTAATCGTTCAGACATAGTACCCACAGGAGGTGACTTTAATGCCCAGATAGGTAGTTTAAACCGAAAAGAAAGGCATTTAGGTGGATATTTTAGTATTCTGGTTCAGCGAACAGATAATGGTGATCGTCTGCTGCAACTATGCTCAGACAATCGTTTATTTTTAGCAAACACAAATTTTAAGCATAAGGAGAGACATTGTTTAACATGGCAACCCCCTACACCAAAACAACGATGGACTCAAATAGACCATACTGCCATCAGTCATCGTTGGAGAGGGTCGGTAGAAGATTGTCGCTCATTCTGGAGTACCTGGTTGGACTCCGACCATGCCCTGTTACGCGCACGCATCTGCTTGCGCCTCACTGGACGCAGAAAAGCCACAGTAAAAAGACCCATTAGAACTGAATTGAGTAGCGAGAAAACCAAAAGTAGGTTCCAGGAACAACTGAGGTCACACTTAGGTAGTTCTGAAAACGAGGCTGACCCAGATGTTGCTTGGAAAGATATACAAACAGCTGTGGAAACAGCAATGAAATCTATTAGTGACTTAAACCACAGAGTTACAAAGAACCAGTGGATTTCTTCAAAGTCTATCACACTGATGGGTTCTCGCAAACTCATCCCATCAGGTTCTGAACATGATGAAGAGCGTAAACAAATCAGATCTGAGTTAAGCAAAAGTCTAAGGAACGACCGTGAGCAGTGGTGAGCAACGAAAGCAAAAGAGATGGAAAGGGCAGTGGCTATAGGGAACAAAAGACAGCTCTACAGACTAATAAAAGAAGGTGGAATTACTAAGTCAAGTGTAAGTCAGACTATTTGGGAAAAAGATGATACTCTCACCTGCTCCCAGTCCAGACGTTTAGAACGATGGGCGGAACATTTTAGAGAACAGTTCAGCTGGCCTTTAGCTATTCTACAACTACCCTTTATTCCCAGACAATGTGAATGGAACATTGAAGTAGGTCCCCCAACCCTAGCTGAAGTCCAAAAGGCTATAGTTAATCTGAAACGAGGAAGCGCAGCTGGTCCAGATGGATTGGCTCCAGATAATTTTAAGGATGGTGGTCCAATTTTAGCGATTAGGTTGACTAATATTTTAGCTAAAATCTGAAAGTTAGACGTCATCCCATCTAACTGGTCGCAATCACTTATCGTCCCAGTATATAAAAGAGGGTCAAAATCATCCTGTGACAACCGCAGAGTGATTAGTTTAACTAATATAGTATCTAAAATACTAGGCTCGATAATTATCAGGCGCCTAACTAAGACTCGTGGACTGCAAACACGAGAGAACCAAGCTGGCTTTAGACCTGGTCGTGGCTGCATCGACCACATATTCACCATTCTTCAGGTTCTGGAACAAAGGCATACTTATCGACGTCCGATGATGGTGGTCTTTCTTTACTTAGATGGAGCATTTGATTCGGTGGACCGCGAGATCCTGAGACAGTGTTTGTCATTGAAATGCGTACCCCAGAGGTACATTAGCCTTGTAAAGGCTCTTTACTCGAACACTACTAGTGAAGTCAGCGCTTATGGCGAACTGTCATCTACTTTGCAGCCTCAAGTAGTGTCCGTCAAGGCTGTCCACTTTCTTCATTTCTGTTTAACTTCATCATAGACCTACTGATGGAAATAACATTGTCGTCGACTGAATGCTCAGGTGTTGATCTCCTACCAGGAGGTCCACTTATCGACTTAGAATAAGCAGATGATATAGTCCTGTTTGGTGAAGACGCTGACAAAATGCAGATTCATTTTGTAGCACCAAGCAACATTGCCAGAATGTTTGGAATGCGCTTCTCTCCCTCTAAGTGCAAACTGCTGCTTCAGGACTGGTCTGCGTCAACACCTGAACTAAGGATAGGGAGTGAAGTAGTCGAACGCGTTGACAACTTCACTTATCTTGGAAGTCTGATCAGCCCTAATGGGCTGGTATCGGACGAAATCTCAGCACGGATTCGAAAAGCTCGCTTGGCTTTTGCCAACTTACGTCATCTTTGGCGAATGCGAGATATCTGTCTATCAATAAAAGGACGAGTATACTGCGCGGCAGTCCGTTCTGTTTTACTTTACGGCAGCGAAACATGGCCTTTAAGAGTAGAAGACGCCCGTAAGCTACTAATATTTGACCACAGATGCCTTAGAAATATTGTTGGCGTTTGTTGGGATCACCGGGTAAGTAATAGTGAGGTTAGACGCAGGGTATTAGGTAATGATGGTAAATCAGTTGATGAGGTTGTTAATCTTCATCGACTGAGATGGTTGGGCCACGTGTTACGTATGCCTGAGCACCGATTACCACGTCGTGCAATGCTAGCGGGTGTTAGAGATGATTGGAAGAGAATTAGGGGCGGCCAAACCAAAACGTGGTGTCAGTGCTTGAAGACAATAACTTCTAGTCTGAGCCATGTTGGTAGATGCAGAGTACTTGGTTCGGGTCCGCGTGACTATCGTAACCAAGGGTTGGAGACTCCTGGTGACATGGCTCAAAATCGATCACACCGTCGTAGGTTTATACACTCCCTGTCTTCCCTTGAACTAAGAGATTAAAATCACTTCATATCTTTCTTTCTACGAACTGATTCTTTCTTCCTGTAATACACTTTTATATGCAATCTTTCTTCTATATATTACCCACATTGAAGTAAACACGTCTATGAATCCAGTGTTCATCTTGCTGTGATAATGCGGTATGGCAACTTGGACCGATGCATATATGTGCCTGCTCCTACGTTGTAGCTGACTGACTGATTGAAGGCTTTTCATCGTAACACGCGACAATAGTTACTAAGTAATATAAACTATTTACACAGCACTCTTTTGAAAGAAAATTAATCAATCAATTTTGATGTTTTCTAGAATTGTGATGTACGTGGAAAAGAGAGAAAATATCAGTTATTGGACGTTTTATTCCATTATAAACATCGTAGTACTAGTATATAATTTTATTTTGAGATAATCTTGGTCACATAAAGGTGTTTCCTAAAAACAATATTAGAACTTAACACGTTGATGATGGATAAGATACTACTGTTTACCGTAAACAAGTAAGAATTCAGAAATGAGCAAGTTTACGGTTGCATATTCGTATGCTTATCTAACTTTTAAATGCCCCTAAGTGACCTGGTACGGCCGAGAGTAGAGAGAATCAGCTCTTCTTCTCGAAATGCTCTCAAGTGGCCACGTGCATACAACCACTATCGGAGGAGTCTTACACACTGCCTTCTCGTGTTAGGGATATTGTTTTCGAAATTTAGAAGAGATAAAGCGAATGTCTGTCGCTTTAATTAATTTGGTGAATACTTCGATTCCATTTAGGAGGGTTGAAAAACCCTGATTCCAAACCAATGGTGCACATGGGCTGATTCCAGGATCCTGAAGGAACCAAAAGCGCGTGAACCAGTCGTTGGTCACTAGTTACTGTAGAACTACATCTTCCAATGTTGCTCCACTTGTGGATTAAACATTAATGTCGATGACTCCGGGTGTGGCCCTCTAAGAAAACCACGTGCTTCGGTCAGGGCACTCGGGCAGTATCACACCGGCATATGCATTTCGTGCCTCCTTTTACCAATATGTATGTGTTTAAATAATAATAATGAATAATATTAGCTGCTTACCACTACTCATAGGCCTACAGTATAATGTTGAGGTATGATATGATGTGAAATAATTGACGCCGATGACGGGAAAAAATTACGATAACTTAGATTATCGATAATAACTATATAGATTTATCTATGCAAAAACAATTATGAGGTCATTAGAAGGTGGAATTAAAAACAGGCGTGTGTGTAAGGCGGTGTTTGGAAATATATAAGATGAATAATGTGATAATTAAAGAAGTCGTAAAGAGTTTACGTAAGATTCAAACCATCTGATGAGATATTTATGAGTTTGTAATTGTTTAGCAGTAGAAATTATTCAGATGGGTTGCGTATTAACTAGACAGGATTTGAAGGGTTTACTTAAGTTCTGTGAATTGAGTGACTGGAAAAGGTCGGTGATGAGGAGATTGTTTTGAAGTACACAAAGTAAGAATTGGTTTGGATAAGATCTCATAACAGAACACACTGGTAGAATAATAATAACAATATAGAAACCTAACATCCTGGCCGAGTCATTATTATCTATGACTAGATCAGTTTTACACAAAATCATCTGCTGGTGCTCAGGACCAGTCTGCAAGAAGTTAGCTACCTACAGTCTGAAGGCTAGTTTCGAATTTTTACAGAGGCTTGACAACTTAAGTTTTCCCGATATATTCATGGTATCTTTTGACGTCACTACTCTGTTTATAATGATCTTTATGGAATAAACAGCCGGAATCGTATGTCAATATCCTGTACTCTTCATTTTCCAATTAATAAGTCTGAGCAGCTCCCATTCTTGGGTACCAAAAGTAATGTTAAGACGATGGAAGAAAAGAGAACGAGATTAGAGAATGATTGGTGGGAATCGAAGGAACAATGAAGTTTGAGACAATTGGATTGACATTTTGCAAATGAACTATTTACTGTATGGTTCTCAGATTTTACTATGTGATTCTGTGATTTTGTATTCAATTACATTCAGTTGTCCCCATTAATGTTATCGTTCAGTACAGTTGTACTTTTATTTACACAATTTCTCAAGATTTCATCATTACTAATCTTATGCTACTTACAAGTCTAAATTAATGTATGGGGAATTTCCGTAGATGGAAATGATTAATATCCATTTAACCTAATGAGAACACGTACCACTTTACAGGTTGAAAATAGATTCGATACCTGAAGTTGGTGTTTTCTAAATTTGATGAAAACTTGTGACATTAAATGTATGAGTTGAATTCAATAAACATGTAAGTGGAATGAACAAGGACTCGTTCAATGAATGCACATAGACAACGGTTTAGTAGTTCGTCTAAAATAATTCAGCTTTTAGTCGCTTTGCTAATCTGGATAAACGTCTTGTAACGAGAATCCGCCTAGCGAAGACATTTATTTAGTGAAGAGTTTAGTGAGAGTTCGCAACCGTTTATTTATAATATAAAATGAATGAAAAGATAATATGAATGTGGAACGTTTCTCAGAAGCATTCAGTACACATTTGTGATGACTTAATCAACTCTAAGTAACATATTATGATAATGTTTAAAGATTGTGTTACTAGTTAATCCGACCAGCTGTTACCTCGGATTCGATGCCACATTCATCATGACCACGTAGTATTCTGAAATATCCATTTTCACCCCAATCTTCATTCCACGAATTCGCTATCAACCAATAAGGAGTGTTTTTTTCCACACCCCATCCAATTATACGTATGGCATGTCCACCAACTGGTTCCCCAGTAATATGTTCATAGATCCCAGATTTGTAATTTAGAAAATCTTCGTAAACTGTGAAGGCTGCTTCTACTGGTCCATACTTCATGATTTCCTTTTGAATAGACAATTCATTATCAGCAACATTATAGGATAATTTACCTAAGAGATGAATAAATTGATAATGAAAATGAAGCTGTTATCACTCAATAGAGAGCTTCCAAAAGTAATCTCAAAAAGGTTAATTTCGCATGTAGAAGCATCATTTCTAAGCAACTCTGACAATATATTGTGATCAATCTATGTGAGTGACAAGTCAACGATTTCATGATAAATTGTTATCATTGTCTAAAATATTACCTACCTCGATGCTTGTCTTGGGCGTATGGGATCTTGTAACTTTTCTGACATGTCTGTTTACAACGAGGAGTCTTGTAGATTTTTTTGCCACATGCAGGATATTTCCCTTTGGCATGATGCTCACATTTCGGGAAGGGATATGGTTGACAGCCTGTGTGATTCTCTTTCGAACTTCCAGTAACAATACCTTCCTTCACCCAATAATCCCAAGCAGGACCAAGGAATCCACCATCACAACCAAATCCACAACCTTCGCAACAGCTCACTAGATCCACAGCACTTAGTTCCACAGATTGTCTGCCACGTGACTGTATGCAGGTTCGATCACTCATGGCTTCGACAGCACCGAAAGCCTGAAAAAAAGCAATGACAACATCAAAACGTTTTGATTTTCCTAGTGTATTTACGTGGAATGAGTGGTCAATATTTGAAAGCCTCTTCAGTTCAACATGACCTGTTTCGTTAATTATTTTAGTCACCGGACATATGTTCACAGATGTGATACTCAACATTGACGTATGTGCTGTCATACAGTATTCAAAAAAACAATTGCTCTAGATAATCTGACTGATACTGTGTGACGTTCGGTGAGATCTCCTACAAACTCACTGATGTGTAGAAATATTCATAGTCATACTAACATTGTATACATTTTTCAAATAGTGCGATCATTATAACTCACCCAACATGATCCACATCGTGATTGATCACGAATGGTCGCTATACTTTTACAACGAGGCCATTTCTTCCTTGAATCAAAACTTGATGGAATTTCTACATTCCAATCATTATGGTCAACTGTGGGACGTCTCTTCTTCCTTAATTCTGGTTCCTCTCTTCTTGCACCCATCAGAATGCGTGCGTCATCCAGTGAGTGGAAACGATTGCTTTTCTCAGCTTTCCATTCAGCATTTGGCTGAAGGATGAAAAAGTTGAAATCATAATTGAATGAGAAACAATTCTGACAATGTTGAACTAAAAATGGAATTCAAATGTGAAGATTTAGATTTGTTCCTTTTTCAACTGTCAGTTGTTGTATTGAACTTAGATATATGAAATGAAATCAGTTTTAGGCCGATGGCGTACGAAACAATGTAACCTGTCATTTTAAATAACTTATAGATGAATTCTAGTTGTAAAGAGGAGGAATCATCTGATTGATTGCACATTCTCCTCAATCAAACCTCGTTTCGTACACAAGCTACTTACAACATAAAGTAGTGGATCTATTCTAATCCAACCGATCATACACGGTTAGAACGTAAATCATTTTACAATGTTCGCGATTTACAACATTACTACAAAAAAGGACCTACATGTTGATTAATATACGAGATGATGTCATCTGACAATGGTTCAAATCTTTCTTTCTTTATTGAAATATGAGCATCGAGAAGGGTTATCAATGAAGCGATACACAACACAGACGTAAGCATAACTAAAGAACTCTTGTGAATGTATTTCTTCGAACACAGCAATCATCATATAATCATTGTTTTATATATACTAAACTGAAATAGTGGACTTTGGGTTACAATGGTATGATAATATCACATTTATTATTTCACCCACTTCAGTTTTTTCGTTTACAATCAAATGTAACACTTCAATAGAGTTATGATTCAACATACAAATCATCACAGATCACTTCAGAATGTTGATCAAAGTTCTTATACACAATAAGATTACAAATGAAATAGTAATGGAAATGGAAATCTTGATTTCAAAGGTTAATTTGTCATACATTGCCATTACAGGTACTTGAAAAATAAGATAATCACAAATGTGTTTACTTATAATTTGTGCTTAGTGATAAGTTTTTTTATGATAAAACTGTCCATTTTGAATAAAAACGTTTCAGGTCGATTTAATTAAGCTTCATTTGTATAACCATTACATAGTCTTTAATTATAAGTTTTTGTTCTGTTGAGTTCAAAGTATAATGTGATAGGTTCGAGTTCCGGTTTTTCAATCAAGACAGTTCTGTATGTACGTTCATCTAGGAAATTCAAAATAGGATGAAACAACCATTCTAAATCTCACAATTGGTTACAATGTGTTTGTTATGAATAAAATCAGTTTATTATACTTCTCTAATGTAATTGTGGTGTAAGCTGATGTAAGTAGTATGTATTATCAATCGAAAGTGAAATGCTTGAAGGCAGAACGTTGTGAAGATCAAAGAAAAGGGAACGAGAACAGAGAAATATTGGTCTGGAAACGAAAGAACAGTGATGTTTGCGACAATTGATTGATATTTTGCAAATGAAATATTTACTGTATAGTTCTTAGATTTCATCAACTTACGCCTACCAGCACTCTTCATTCACCGGCAGTTACTCTGGAAGAGCTACAGTTGGAGTTAGATTTCATCAAGAGACCTATAATTTTATATTGAAGTACAGTCAGTTGTCCTCACTTGTTTATTCTCGTTCACTACACAATACTTGCCTGTCCTTTATCGGGACACACAAGTAGTCACAGTTCTGTAAATGCTATGCAGATAATTGAATGGACGATCGGCTTCGTATTTTGATGATGATTTTGTTTTGATATGTTGTATGAAGTCGGTTCGACGTAGTGAAAATAGCTATCGATTTCGAATCATCATCAATTGTGATTGTAGTTGCAAACCATCACAGCAAAATACTTTTTTCTGAAAACAATGTTGACGCAATCAGCTTCTACACATATGATGTAACTATATTATTGTGGAACGAGACTACCAATCACTGAATGCTTATTCATATCTGGCTTTCTATGGGTCCCTTATATGATGTTATTTGAACATGGAGTTCTAGCCAGGTTGCAACATAATCTTAAGTCCGAAAGAACAAAAGATAATACTACTTCACGTTGTGAGTTGGTGCTTAGCTACTAATTCGTCCCCAAATGCCCTGGTATGGCCGAGAGTGGGGAGAGTCGGCTCTCCCTCTCTAAATGCTCTCACATGGCCACGTGCATACAACCACTACCAGAGAATTCCTACTCGCTGCCTTCTCGCGGCGTAACTGTTGTTTACGTAATTAACAGAACGAAAAGTGGATATCCGGCGCTTTAACAGGGTTCGTGGACACGGAGAGTCCACGTAAGGAAGTTGGAAAACACTGATTCCAAGCCAATGGTGCATATGAGATTCAGTATCAGTCAATCATTGGTAACTGGCTACCATGGGACTGTATCTCTTGACGTTGCTCCACTGCGACGTAGATCAGAAATTTGGGTCGACGGCTCCTTTTGTGGTCCTGTAAGGAAATCACCTGCCTTGGTTTAAGCATCCGGATGATATATCTTTCTGGTACCTCCTTCTACTAATGTTTATGTGTTTAAATAAATAAATCAATAGCTTCAATTCAAGGCATAATTTCAATCACAAATATCACACATTTCATTGAAATCAATCGAAGTTGAATTTTCCGAAAATGTAGATGGTTCCTTCTCGCTAGTGCTTAAATCTTATCTTTCACAAATGAACGAACAAACAGTGCAGATGTAATGTTATATCCATTCATTCAATCATAACTTTACACCAGAAGAAACAATTGAATGTAGAATGTAATGACTTCATAAACACTAAGTAATTGGGACTTAATCATTATTTGTAAGATTATTCGTATGAATAATGACGAACAATAAAATAGTATTCTCAACAATAAACCACAGCATACTGGTGATTAGCTGTACTTCAAACTGAACAACGGTTATACACATCACTTTGTACTAGTTTTGTAGATGTTCATCAACACACAAAACAACACAACTACAAGGAAATATTTACTTTCAGACTGAAATCAAGTAAACCAGCTCACTAATTGATTAGTTATCACGTTTTTCTAACAGACAATTTAACTAAGAGGCAACAGGTTTCGACACTATTTTTCGACGCCTTTATTTATATATGCTGATTGAATGTTTCTCGATTATTTTGGTTTTATTGTTTTCGTATTACCCTGATTCGAAGCTTTTATTTGAATCATAAATTGTTTCTATGGCGTTTTTCAATTATAAACTAGCATCGATTGCTTATATTCACACCACTTCATTGTTTCCATGATCAAGCTTGTTGTTTTTATTGCTTCGTAATACTGATACTTAATAGGTCTACTGAATGGTCAGGTCATGTATGTAGATAAATAAATGTTTGAGATGGGATAACGATTCTGTACCGGTGATCATTGGGCTTGTATTCTTCCTCTTCGTTTAGGGACAGTTAGAGTCGAGCTAATTTTCAAGCATAGATTGTCATTCTCGATAGTTGTGGTCGCATGTTATTCGTCTAATGTCATCTACTTGTGTTGTTTGGCTGTAAGACACAACGCAAATATCTTTTTATACTATTTAACTATTAGAAATCGTTCACTGTAGTTCAGTTAAAACGTGAATATTCTAAGTTATCATATATTTATACAGTAGTTTTAAAGTGCACTGAGGTAAAACACTGTTCAATGAGTTCAGTTAAAAGTTACATGAATTAATATAGTTTAACAGTTAACGGATATTGTAATTGGAAAGATAAGAGCTAGTGACAGTTGACACAAGCCATTATCTTGTAGTGTGGAGTCGAGTCGCGGTTGACTATGATCACCAGTACGAGAAGGTTGCGTATCAGATATCAGAAGGCGATTGGAGGTTGTAGCGAGATATATTTGTTGGCGACCTGGTGGTATCGACAGAATACCGAGATCGTGTCAAAGGAGTGCAAGCGGAATCACTGAGCAAACTTAAATGCGTGAAAGGTCACAATCAACGCAAAGACATATGTGTTTTGGTACAGTTGAACAAGCAAGTACGGTAGAACTATCCGTGGTACAATCGTTCATATTATTAATTGTTTTCATTGCACCAACCGCGTTCTCTTGATAAAAATAGATAACTACAATCTCAAATTACCATAAAAGCATAGAAGTATGGTATTTCGATGACAACATTATATATGGATTAGTAAATGATGATTACTGTTTATCATTCAGCACTAAAAGGGTTGTGAATTCCTATTGATCGATAGTCACGCCGAATAACTCAACCTTCTTTTACCACACACATTTGGATTGAGACAATGGAAATAGTTTCGGTAATGAGCATGATGAAGACGTTCTGTTTTTGACAAAGAAGTGTAACTGCCAGCCTGAAATGGAAATAGTCCATTTGGTTGATTCTATATCGTATCAGGAATGTTGTTGAGTATGATAAGAGTGATTAATTTATTGTTATCAAATTTTTTAAGCAACAGAAATTGTAGTGAATTAGTAATGTTTGGACGTAAGTCGAATTTTCTCGAATAATGTTAATATCCGATTTGATATACAATTGGTCATCTGATGGTATACTCGCTATGAAGACTTGATCACACGACTTATTGAAGAGACATGTGTCTTAACAGTCAGAACATATCTCATTGAATGAACGAAACGATTTACGTTAGACGCCCATTGAAAACTTGCGAGTAATAGATGGCCGCTTCAGCTTAATATGATTTTATTTCATTTAGACACGAATAGGGTAGTGAACAGAACATGGGTGGGGACAGTTGAATGTATTTAGCACGAAAATTACAGACTATTTCAATAAAATCATCAATTTGCAAAATAATAATGCATCATATCAAACTGGACTGTTTCTGTCTCCCATTTCAATGGTCATGCGTTTTCTAACAAATTCCATTGTGTCCTCGCTCTTCTTTTCTTGATCTTCCCCTCATCTTCTGCTGCCAGACATTACGTTTCTGACTCGCATAATATACTACTTACATCAATATAAGTAGCACACTCCACAATAGCATTGTGAACTTGGCATATGGTCTGCAGATTAGGCATTCGTGCACATAGACGAAAGTGTTGGGTTGAATTCTTGGAGGAAGAATAATAAATGAGAATTGTACAATGGTCATAGTTAATTGAGCAATGTTATGGTCTCTAGTTATTGGAAATGAATTAGTTACTAGATACGAATTAGTAGTAATGCGCGATGCGCAAAAATGAGTTGGATTATTATACAACGTCTGTTCGAAAGACAATAACTTCACAGCATTTATCACATGAATTATCTATCAAAGTGTATATGATTTTTAGAAACTCGTGGTCCTTCTTAATGTCCGATTTCACTTAACTTTGTATCAATGGGAGGAACTACGTCTGTGGTCCGTTTTTGTATTTTGGTAGAGCTGTGTTCTCTGAGATTGATGTTTGGTTGTGAGTATTCATGTTCACATAGCATGAGTACTGGGTCTCCAAATACTCTTTTGGAACAAACATTCTTACTTTTAACCTCATTGTCTCATTTGCTTTGAACAACGAGTTATGTAGACAAAGTGAGGGGATTAGAATGTGATCTCTGTTCCACCGCGTGCTACCAGTTTTTTAATTATCAAGCATGAAAACGTTTGAACTATTTCACTCATCAAACTCTGTATTTTCGACTAATATTATTTGAGTATCATATTTATAATTTGTGACGTGAAGTTCGACCTGATTGACATTCTTTATCTATTCAGTGCACACCATCCGGCCTAAG